GAAAAACAGCTGAAAAAAGCCACCAGCAAACAACAGCACATACAACATATTTGATCGCATTCGCGCGAACTGACTTGGGTCTCTTTTTTTTCTTCTTTTTTGTTCGATTGTACCTATTGCGTTCTCTCCCAATCGAAAGCCATAATTTTTCAATGATTATTTGTGCCCGAAGTAACATGCCTTTCGGGAACGTGTGTTATTGTGAACGACTGAATATGTTTTAGATCTCGTAACACATTTGATGTTTAACCATGGAATTTGAAGTTCCAATTCTTGACTCATACACACAGTCCGAATATGATTTGATTCCATACATTTTGGCTTTGGTTCCGCATAATAACGGACTTTTTTGTGAACGATAATATACACACGAAACAAAAAAACCAAAAATCTTTTGCCTGAACTTAATTTGCGCTTGAGAACAATCAAACCGAATCGAATAGAAAAACATATGTTTTACTCAACACTTTTCCATGACAGTGTGGGCTGAATCAAATCATAAATTTGCGTTGTGCATTTGAAACGGACTTCAGCATAAATATTGGACGGACATTTTGAGAGGCCAACCATTCGTTGAGAGATTTCTCTTTTTTTCAACACATTTGCATTCACTGCATCGACAATTTTCGGATTTTAGCATGGAAAGTTTCGAATTTTTTTCTTCTTATCAGACACATCCATGTGTAGCAGCGGCCTTCCATGAACTCTTTTCACTTTTCGTCTCGTTTCAAATTTGTTGTTGTTGATATTGAATGCAATTGCGTCCACGAAATAAAAAAAAAATTGATTCATATACAACATTGTTCATTCGCTAAATTTCATTGTCAACGGCGGAAAAATGTATGTCAGTCGACTCTGATCAGATTGATCATTTTAGACTATTGTATGGCATAATCGCATCATTCTCTAGTGCGAAACAAAAGTAAAAACATCATCACATGCTGACCATTTGTATCCAACACTTTTGAAATCCAATTCTTATACCACACACACACGCTTACATATATTCACGTTCATTGTTCAACTGTGCCATTTTTCTTCCTGATTGGTGTTTTCATAACATGCTTGCGCGCACAATCAAAACGACTGAATCCATTAGCTTTTCGCCCTGGAAAATTGCTAAGTTTTTGTTTAAATAGATCACATAACATTTGAAAATTAGATTAAGTGTATTTTGTGTTCACATTGCGTGGCATGTCAATTTTCGCATTTTGCTTCGAAACAATAAATGTTTGAACCAACCTTCGCTGGTTTGCTGGTTTGGATGTCAAAATCGGTCACTTTATTGCCAATCATTCATTTGAATATAGTCCGCCAAATCTATAATTGCCAATATCAATACGAATTCATTGGAATCGAGCGAATGAGTCAAGTCAAAATGAATGACAGTGGCAGTGGCCACCGGCTAAAATGCTATAGTTTTCCAAGAAGCACATAAACATGCCAACACACAAACACGACGAATGACTTTAATTGATTTTGATTAATTGGACTTGTGCAGTTGTATATTGTTGACCGAAGCTTTTTCAATTGTCATTGCGAAATTGCGATTTTTTTTTCTTTTTCGGCCGTCTTCCGTTTTTCGATCGGTCATTTTGTTTGTTTTCCATCACACACACGGTGAACAAATTTAAATTATGTGAAAAAAACAACAATGGTTATTACTATGTGCTATCGCTTCAGTTTGTGTGGAGAAATTGTTTGGCAGTATCGAAGGACAGAAAAAGTGATTGATCTGTGTTGGTGAGAAAAATTAACCAAATCAACGGCGTTGGCAAAAAATGATGCGTGTCGATTAAACATGTGATTCTGTTTTTTATTTCGCTAGCTTGGTTTCGTTTGGTAACGTGTGTGAATGCGACGATGTCATAAAGAAAGTGCATATTGATGTGATGGACTATTTTTTTGGTGAGTTGTGGTTGTTTTTGTTTATTTTGTTGTTCATTTCCTTTTTTTACTCGGTGCAGCCGGTGCTCGGCGGGTAATTTTGTATAATTTAACTTCTAGTCGTTCAGCATACATAACATCCAAATGAAATTACGAAATTTCGGTTCACATTTCTCTTTTTCCGTAGGCTTGTTTACTTCTTTTTCCATACATTCATTTATTGTTTATCTCAATTTCCTTTTCGTTTGACAAAGTGAAAAAAAAAACATCAACAACATTGTATATACAAAGAAACAGACAAAACATATACCGAAAAAAGCACAGTTCACTTAAAGTCAACGCGGTTACGCATAACTAGCTGTGTGAAATTATCAGCAGTGGCAGTGCGACACAACAGAGGTTATGTGCATGATATATGTGTAAAAAGACCTCAAAAATAATAATAATAAAAAAAACAAAACAACAACACACAGTAACACGATGTAATTTATGAATGCACGTACATTATTACATTCGGTCCAGACGTTGTGGTAACATAAAAACACACAACAAGGCATCTTGCCGAGATCGAAATTCCTTCTTACTAAACCGAATTGGTAATCGAAAGGCTTCCCATTCATTTCACTCAATATATATCTATATGGATAAACATGCAACAAACTCTAGTGCATATTGAAATCGGATCGAATCAAGTGTGGGTTTTTGTTTGTTTGTTCGTTTCGTTTCACATTATATTCAGAAAACAATCGCTCCTTGTGGTCAATTTGTTGGTCTGTAAATGCATTTATGCCAAACGAACTCGATGTTATATATACATTTAAATGAACTGCAGTGAATGGGTACATAAATTGTGATTTACAAACAGACAGTACGGAATAAATGGAGCAATTAATTCATGAAAATTCTTCCGCGTTAAAAAGGCATTAAGAATCAAGAATGAAAAGACACAGATGCAGATAAAATGAATTTGAATGCGTTGCATTCACACACTCACAAAAAAAAAACAATTGGTTCTCGTTTTAAGCTGTATAATTTCAATGTTTCATATATATAGAAATTATACATTGCATTTACCAGTTTTTTTCGTGATGTGCACACGGTCGGTTCAGACAACAATGATGATGGCCCCAAAAATATACCAAGATATATGAGCGTGCGCGCAAGTTCTTTAAACGAAAAGAAAAAAAAAACTTCAGCGTCACAATTCATTGGCCAGAAGCGAGACAAAGCCATCACATGCTACATCGTTATACGTGCTCATAATAAGCTAAACGACTTAGCGCATAAACAGCAACCGATTACAGTTAGGTTGGTATCTTTTCTTCTCTTCTTCTCTTCTTTAATGCACATATGCCGTCAACGACGAATGCGAACGTCGACGTGCAAAATATAACGGTGGGGCCATATACATGTATGAGTGTACGATCGCAACCATTCGCGTCACTCTTTCGTTGTTTTTGCTTTTCTTTCTTATTCTTTGGGCATTATGTTGGCTGCTGTTGTCGAACAGCGCCAGTCACACTTATGTGTGCTATTCGGTCAATTTTGCACTTGATCGAAACTGTTTCATAGAATAACAGTTGTTGTTGTAAACACCGATCAATAATAACAACAAATATAAAAAATCTCATGTCATCACGAATGTACCTTTCAGAATCTCTTATCGAATAATATATTGCAAAGATCTTTATTGAGAAGAAAAGAATCTATATTCTAGTGATTGAATGTGAATTGTGTTTCAACGACGAAACATTTATGAAGAGAGTTTCTTAATAGAATTGTCAATTTGAAAATTAAATTCCCTTTGGTTCTGGTGCATCTGAATAAAATCAACATTGCTTTACATTGCGTTCAGCTCATCTACCAGCGTTGGTTCGTGGTTTTCTTTTCACTGCGACTGACTTCCATACGGTGTGTGTGTATTTCGCATTTTTGCACTCTTAGTCCCACCACACGTGAATTTCAATCTGTGTTCAGCGATCAACAGCAGCGGCCAAAGCAACAACGACAACAGACAGCAACGGACTGCTAAACCATTGAATTTACAACCAAACGATATATATATGCGATGCGGTATGGTTGTACATGAAACATATATTGCATACACAAACGCAACACACAAAGTGGCAAGCAACCGCTTGGAACAAGACCCCCCGCAAAAAAATTTATATATATTCAACAACATGAAGAGAGCAAAAAAAGCACACAAAATACAAAACACACAGCATAATACCGAAAACACTACCAAAGAGAAAGGTTTTATAAAGCCAGCGAAAATACGATTCAATTTTAGTTTGGCGATAAACACGGGTCGCGTAGTTGCACACACGATTGACTCATTGAGACAATATAAATTCAACAAATTTTTATTTCATCTCAGAGAAGTAAACGATTTTTGGACGACAGCAACACATTCTCAGCTCGATATCGAGACACATCGTTTGAATTGTTTTTCTTCTAATTTTCTTGCATTTCTGCCACAAACAGCAAACCGTGAAGTGTATAAAAACCGATTCAATCTCAATTTTATGTGACTTTGTTGTCTTTTATTATTCCCAACGTGATCGGGGTGTATTGATCTAATTGAATTTTGGGCAAAACAACCCAATGTACTATGTGCGCACAACAATTGCAGTAACATTTTAACGAACAACCAACGGAATCAACCATAGTCTGTGTTGTTCTAAGTGCAAATTTAAGAGTTTCTTTTTTTTAATTCTTTGAAGCCACCGGAAAAGAAACATTGAAAACACCGAACTTTAGACCACAACAAATAAAAACTGATTCGCCATTCAACCATTGTGAAAAGTGCAATTGAGAGACAAGGTTTTAAAAATCGTTGCCAATTTGCATGCAGTTGGAGTTTAAGAACCCAAAGAAAATTGGTGCATAACGAACCGTTTATTCTGCAAGCGATTATCGAAGAACGCATCGCGTCCAGGATATTTGTTCAACAAAGAAATTCCATCGAACAATTCAGAACATCGTTTTGCACATTAACTGAACTGAATAACATTTTTTTTTTTTTTTTTTTTTTTTTTTTCAAAATAAACCAAACTCAATATAAATCAATTGAAGTGCGCACCGATTCAATCTAAGATTCATACAACGCATTATCATCAATTACATTTATATGAACAATTTTTTTTCTTCGGTTTTAACTATCGATAAATTACGATTTTGTTATTATTTTCATTGTTCGGTCGTTCGGTTAATTATTACTCAATTTCAAACGAAATAGAAACACTGAAAAACGATAAAAGAAAAAAAGAAATACAAAAAACAAAGATAAACAAATTTATAGTAAACTATGGCTGTTAAGTGGAAACCAAGTGCCACCGCATTCTGTGTGCTTTGTTGTTTTTTAATAATTCTACCAAATGCATTTGTGAACAGCGTACGAGTTCAATCGAAACGCGTTAAAGGAGCTAAAGGTAAGTGCATTAACATCGTACCATCTACATGACATTCATTCGATTAGAAGATCATTCGATCGCATTAGAAGTATCGCTATTCATACTAGATGGATAACCATTTTACAACGTTCGATTGTTAGTTAACGACACTTGCGATCCATTGAAATCGAAAGTCATTACACACTGATCAAATTGATGCAAATTCGAATCAAAAAACAACAACAAGAAGAAAGATTTCACATCGTTTAATTAATCACACTCATTTCATACAAACCGTAATTTAACTGTCGAATCAACCATTATGGATGTAAGAAATTAGCTGGAAAATAATTTCAGAAAAATATTCGTAGAAAATAAGAAAATGAAAATTGAAAAAAAAAAAAAGAAAATCGAATATGCGTGTAAGAAATTGCTACTGTAAAATTTTACACTTTGAGAATTCTCGGCAGAAAGAGAGAAAAAAAGATGTTTAATCCAACAAATTGAAACAAACATTCATTTCAATCATTCACATTAAAAACCGCATCATTTGTCCGAAAGTGAATTTAATGAGAGACTTAATACAAAGATATACGAGTGATGCATTCCGTTCGTAAGTTAATGAACGATAAAATTAAAACTTTTTTTTTCTTTAAACTCTCGTTGCCCGTCTGCCTTACTAATTTCGCATTCTCTCCATGACGATCAGAGAGTAATACGGTAAAACATGACCGGATCATTGGCGTTTAATGCATTTTTTCTCACTGTGAGTGTCGACGATTTTATCTCGTCAATTTTATCAGTGTACGTCTACTGTGTAGTTTTCATATATATTTTTTTTTAAATGTCATATAATTTGACAGAATATAATGACTGAAATACTTTTGCATTCGCGAATACAAATTTGTTCAGACAAATCACCGCATTTATGCGCGCATACACCACAAGTGGCCAAACACTGTCCAAATGCATACTGCTTGACAGCACAAGATAATTGCATGAACAAACCGATCTAAACAGAGCGAAAACGGAAAACGAAAAAAAAACAACAACCAACAACAGCAACCGAAGAAGAAAATGATTTAATCTGTAAGTGCGAAAATGTGCGTATTAGAAAGTTGTGGTGGATTTTGTTTTGTTTTGATCTTAAGAAGCAATAACGATTTTAGTGAAAATATAAAGCAATATCGTTAAAATAAAAAAAAACAGTAAAACAATTTAAAGAAAAACGACTTGTTCACTAACAAACGAAATAAGCATATGCGAAAACGACGAAGAAGTGGACAAAACATGAACATTTTACCCGATAAATTTCCCCGATTGACGAGAAGTGGCAAGACATCACAGAGACCATTTTCAACTAAATGTGAAATAATGATCATTATTACTCCAGTGCAAAAATGCTGTCACTCAGCCTCAGTAATGCACATGATTAAAATGAAATGGACAATTCGTCCATCATGTGTGCGTGCGAATGTGTCTGCCCGTCTGTCTGTCTGTGCGCGCCTGCGCACATCAGCCCATTTTCGATGCAAAACAAAAGATTCAAGTGACGAACCTGTCTCTTTAAAATTACGTTCACATTTAATTAATGTAAACGCTGCGCGACAACGACGGCACATCACATCAAATCACACACACACACACGATACACGAAAACTGCACTTTTGAAATGAAACTCAGAAGAAAAAACATATGTGGAAAAAAGGCACAAATCTCATGCGGATCCGAAGATGTGTCTGTGTGTGGCACAGTTGTTGCATTAAAACCGGGTCTGCATCCATCCAATCAACAATTTTATATGATGCCGTTTTAAGTGTGCCTTTTTTCTACTGCGGTTACTGCTGATGATGATCGCTTTTGCGCTTTATTCCATAATATCACTTTCATTGAATCCAACGTGATTGACTGCAATGTGATGCATTCGCATATCGCGTATATTGTACGTATTACATTTCTAATTGTTTTAAATGCGAGTCGCCTTTTTTTCCACATTTCTCTCTCTTTCTTTCTAACTCTCTCATTCTCAAGTCGCTCACATCAAATCTTTTTTTTCCCTTATGATCTTTCCCTTTCTCTTGCTCGAGGGAAGCTTTCGATAAAAAACCGATTTTGTGTCATTTTCAATTCACGATAAACGCAAAATATAATAGGCAAATGTCCAACAACAACAAAAACGTTGTCCATTGTTATGCAGCCAATGTGAATATAAAAAATACAACGTCACATTTAATTTGTTGAAATGCATTTCGAGTCATTTTCTCATTTAATTTAAATGATGATTTAAATTGCATACAAAATGATTGCTTAAATCGGCTGTGATGCCGATTTTAAAACGATTCCAACGAAGACAAACCGAGAAAAGAAGAAAGAAAATTGAATGAAGAAGAAATATACCGAGAAAGAAAGAAAATCGATGGAATTTATTTGCATTGTTCGTTGCACCTTCCACTCACACACACACACACACACACATACACACACTTTGGAATCATTTTCCCGTTTCGATTCGAATGGAGGAAGAAGAAGAAAAAAAAATTGTATTTTTCAACTGGAAATATGTGATGCGTTTTGAATCCAATTGATTCGTTTCGTATCGAATTGCGGGAATAATGGCGTTGAATGGACACCCTGCAATGTAAGAAAACGGTACATTAAAAAAAAATCCACGGTGCATTCACGGCGCCGTACAATCATGCTGAATTGACCATAAAATACAGAATTTTTTTTCCTTTTCAAGAAGACGCAAAGTGAAACGAAGCGCACGAAAAAAAGTGAGCTAAAAACAGAAGAAAAGCAAAAATTGAAAGCAAATGATTTGTAGAGCGAAAGAAAGAGGAAAATAAACGGGAAAAAATGTGTGTTTGGAATTCGATAACAAAAACAAAACACAGAATACAAAGTATTTCGGTGAAAATCAAATGATGGCGAGTCAGTTTAACAAATAGATAAACAAAAAATCTCACAATAGATAAGTATCTCGTATGTGAATTACGATATATGATCGTTTGCTCTATTGACAGTGCAGGCGAGTAAATTAAATTGCCGTTTCTTTTAACGGCACTCTTTAACTCGCAACCGCACCAGTGGCCATTCATCGTTGCTTTTATATGGGCTTAATAAATGAATGAAACAAATGAAATTCGAACGCATTTATCTAATTCGATGAAAGTTTTTTTTTATTTGGGCCCCGAATATTGACCAATAAATGTCGAAACATATTTTAACAGAAATGTTAAATCAATTAGATTTGCATCGTTTGGCAAATGTCACAAAAGAAGAGAAAAAAACCACATACTCTTGGAGAGAAATTAACGCCTGCCAAATGGTGTTTTCTCGAACAAAAGACACGTGTACTGATGTTGTTGTTCATATTTAATCTTCTGTGGCCATTCAATTTTTCAACTCCATTTATTGCTTCCCTATTCAAATTCACTCCGATTGAATATTTCAATATGCGTAGATTTTTCACCGTAAAAAAGCACATTTAAATGATTTCTGCGTGGTTCAAGTGAAAAAGGCGATTGGTTTTATTTGTTCCGAAACACGATCAAACACTTGTAATGAAAAATTATTATTGCTTTTGCTCGATACGGTTTCGATTGACAAATGAATGTATGTACGTGTTCGAATAAAATCAATAATAAATAAGAGTAACAGGCAACCGTTTATTGGCAAACATCATTTTATGTTTTGTCCTTTTTGTAAACCAGTTTATTTTCCAATTGCACTTGCTCTGATTTACACGCGATAATTAGAGAGAGTGATGAAATTGATGGCATTCAAATCAAGAACTTAACGAAAAACGTAACCGCGACTGATTTTGCTAAATACCAACTAATTCGACGAGAATATTAAAAAAAAATGACGGAAATGTTACTAAATGCCTAATGAAACGCATAAAAAAATTCATTTTATTACCACTGGTTTCGACCATAAAGAGTACAACAACGAAAAAAAACTATATACGAAAAACGGCTCACCACGGATTTGTTTACGATAAACGTAAAACCGGTATGGAAAAAAATCGATAATTCAACAAGACAAGCAAATGTAGACATGCATATAAAATGTGGTTGATTTTGATGTGTGAACGGAACACAAAATGCGCGCCCAATGACCAATGATGGAAAAACAATAAACAGGATTATCGTTCTTTTTTTTCGCTTGCCAACAAACGGAACATGTTGCAATTTACAAAACAAACTATTAAATATGGATAAACAAAGATCTCAGTATAGATCAAATCAAATGGATTGAACTGGTCAAAAACAGTTTACATTGAACATGGTGAGCGACGCATGCGAATTATGATTGCAACAAATTATGAAATCGTCTGATAAAATTCCATCGCAGAAAAGCGTAGAAATTGTATGACCAAACTGCTGACTCGCACATACACACCCAACGTAAACGCACACGCAATGGTAACGCCATGTCATATTATAATTTCAACACCGTTGCATGATGCATCGTATCTTATCTGAATCGGTTGTGCGTTGCATATTTTCTATCGATAGAAATAGACTCAATTGAGTTACATGCAATTTAATTATTTGGACCGGTCTCTGTCAATGTTGGTCCATTATCGATCAAACTAAAATGCCACTGACACTGGATGCACGATATCCAGTTCGAGAGCGTTTGAAAAACAAACACGGTGTTCGTGTGTCGTGCTTTTGCGCTTAGTCATGTGAGAGTAACAATACTTTCTAAAAGAAAAAAAAATATTTTCTTTTTGTTTCAAAGCGAATCCATATATTAATCGCAATTTTTGCTTGAATTTGTACAAACATTTTTTTTTTGTTGACCGGACGCAAAGTAAAAGAAGCGGCAACAATGATATGTATTTAATCCAGATCAACAAAAAAAATCCATTCGATTTGGATATTAACCGAGATTTGGAGTATTTGCTAGCTACGTCTTTTTTCTTCTTTTCTTTCTCGACTTCTTTTGCTAATAGCACTTTCTCGATCTATTGAATTTGCAAAAAAAAAAATAAACGAAACTTAATGCGCTATAGAATTGGATTTGTTTAG